AGTGCTCTGAGGTTGCATATACGTGTCAAAACCAGGCCTTTTCCTCTGCTATAACCTCTTCTGTCTGGGCTTTAAGTCTGTTTAGGAGAACTTTTAACATTGTCTTGACTTATGAGTCTTGTGCCATGCCAAAAAAAAACAAACAAGCAACTGGATATTTTTTTAATCGCTCAGACGTTTTATCCATCCATCATCTTACGTCAATTACATTGAAGCCTTGTCAGAATAGCAGGTTTATAAGTACGAGTTAGAGACAGAGAGAGAGAGAGAGATTAGAGATTAGATAGATTTATATTGCAATATTTACCTTCCAAGCGTTATACGGTATATGAATTTCTGAACACTGCAAAACTGCAATGTGCCATTGGATTCCCAGGCGGAGCTGTTCCTGTTTGGATTCTCTGCATCTGAGTCATAATTACGAACTGTTTGAATCATGTCACTTATTACTTTTTTTTTTCTTTTAAGTCCAAACATTTAGTTTCTGGAAGGCCAACGAGACACCGAATTCGAAGGAAAAAATGGCCGAAGGACACCGTTGGCAGGGCTGGGATTCGAACTCTTCAAATAGGTCTAGAAATAACAGCATTGATAACAGCTAGACCAAACCACAAACCGTGCCATGGGTAACGATACCGACGGGCGGGGTAGCAATCTACAATCTACCGACAATCTATTGTGGCGTCGCGTAGCTGTGGGGTCGTGTGGCGTAGCCGTGGGCTTGTGTGGCGTAGCCGTGGGCTTGTGTGGCGTAGCCGTGGGCTTGTGTGGCGTAGTCGCAGAATCGTGTGGCGTAGCTGTGGGAGTCGTGTGGCGTAGCTGTGGGGTCGTGTGGCGTAGCTGTGGGGTCGTGTGGCGTAGCTGTGGGGTCGTGTGGCGTAGCCGTTGGGAAGTGTGGCGTAGCCGTTTGGTTGTGTGGCGTAGTCCCAGAATCGTGTGGCGTAGCGGCAGAGTGCTCGACTCGGAACCAAGAGGTCTCGTGTTCGAGTCCCGACATGCCACCGATCTTGTGCCCTTGGGAAAGGCACTTTACACGACTTTCCTCACTTAACTCAAGTGAAAATGAGTATTGTCCTGTCCTGTATTTGTACTCTGTCTTGGTGGTCACCTCAACATTAGAACCACCTGGCCATTGATATACAGTAAAACCTGTACTAGTGACCACCTCTACATACGGACCACCTGACCATTGATACACAGTCAAACCTGTACTAGTGGTCACTTCTACATACATGTACATGTAAGGACCATTTGGCCATTGATATACAGTCAAACCTGTACTAGTGACCACCTCTACATACGGACCACCTGGCCATTGATATACAGTCAAACCCGTACGAATGGTCAACTGTACATAAGGACCATTTGGCCATTGATATACAGTCAAACCTGTACTAGTGACCACCTCTACATAAGGACAACCTGGCCACTGATATACAGTCAAACATGTTCCCCTCTCTTACCTCTTCATAATGGTAAACGTGTATTCATTACAATTAAACCGTACTAGTGCCCAGCTCAGCAAATGGACCATCTGGCCATTTCATATAACTTTTATAAGGTCAACATGTACTAATGAACACCTCTTAAAAAGAAGCACCTCTTGATAGTCTACTGTAGCTAGCCGGCAGTAACTAAAGAGGATGGTACCCAGGTTACTGAGGCAAATTAACAGTACCTGCTTTGTATCCCTGTAGTTTAACAGCATTTTGTTATTTGCCCGCACGCACTTGTTTGGGGGATCTTTAAAGGATGTCATGTATAAAATCAAGTCAATGAAGCCTTACCACCGATGGGTTTTAGTTGTCATTTGTACACAGTCACTTAACTCAAGAGAAAATGAGTATTGTCCTGTCCTGTATTTGCATTTGTCTTTGTGGTCACCTCAACACTAGAACCACCTGGGCATTGATATACAGTCAAACCTGTACTAGTGACCACCTCTACATAAGGACAACCTGGCCACTGATATGCAGTCAAACATATTCCTCTCTCTTACCTCTTCATAATGGTAAACGTGTATTCATTACATTCAAACCGTACTAGTGCCCACCTCAGCAAAGGGACCATCTGGCCATTTCATATAACTTTTTACAAGGTCAACATGTACTGGTGACCACCTCTTAATAAGGAGCACCTCTCGATAGTCTACTGTAGCTAGGCGGCAGTAACTAAATAAGGATGGTACCCAGGTTACCGAGGCAAATTCATTGTACCTGCTTTGTATCCCTGTAGTTTAACAGAATTTGTCGGCTGGGATTTTTTTTTGCCCGCTAGTTGTCAAGTAGTATGTTATGGACAGGATAGGTATTATTTGCGGCGCTCCTCCACCTGTTATGTGGCGGTGCGCAGCGGCGAAGACTAGGTGTGGTCACTAGGAGGTGTAGAGGTCACGTGAAGGTCAATGCGCCATACCAGACGCCGCGGGAGGTCGTGTCGGGCGGCATCGTTACTTAAGGATGGACAGTTTGTATCCCCAGGAGGTCGTGCTGGGCATGGGTTAATCCTATTGTTCTTTTAATTAAGCCGGGACCTGTTGAATCCCAGCGCGGTCACTTCAAACCTTTCTCACGCGTCCCGGGAGGGCGTGTCGGGCGGTATTATCTATTAAGGGTAGGTTGTGTATGTCTTGCTGTGTCAGTGTTATTGTTTGCTGATTGGTTAAGAGGTAAGAGGATTTTTGTATAAAGCCAGGCAAACTGTGACGGTCTTAGATTGCGACCTGTCCACGCTTCGACACCTTTTCGATTAGCGATGGCTTCTACAGATATCAGGAATTGGCTGAGCCGATCTATACACGAGGGGGACATCACAAGCTGTTCTACCGACCCTGTACCTCTTCAATAGCAGAAGTTACGAGGAGAAAATTTCAACTGTGATTACACGGTATTGTACCGTCCAAGTGTTGCTTCGACCCTGTTTCAAGCGTGCGAAGAGGAGTTTGTGTACAACACCGGGGACTTGGCTCGAGTTCAGGTCAGAATCTCTTCAATAATTCTGTGTAAGTCTTGTCTATTTTGTCAACATCGTTTTACAATCATACACCAATACCTATCAGCGCTGAACGTACGATGTATAACCTTCTTTTTTGTAGATCTTTGGAAAGTATCGTGACATCCCAAGGAAACAAGTTGCTTTTGGTGACCCTGGGTTAT